TGTCCTACACCTCAGCAGCGGGTGCAGGTGGCAATGGAAGAGGAAGCAGAGGGAACAAGCGCATAGTAAAATGAACACAGATCTGGTTGCCCTGCAGCATTCCAGAGTCAAAATCCTCTTCAGTACTGCCTTGCCCCTTTTTAGTCTTCTGAGAAATCGCTGTATATATAGATTAGAAAAACAGAGAGTTATTGTTTGATTAAGAAAAGTGATTACAGAAGAGAAAAACAGTAAAGGTTAGGGTGGGGTGGATGATAAATAAATAACAGATGATGGATAAAAAAAAGTACAAGATACACCAGCTCTTTAAGAGTATTGCACAGGAGGATGGGTTAGAGAGAGAGAGGGGAGGAGAGGAGAGAGGAAAGGATCACTGTGCTCCTGGTTAAAACAGTCTACATACATACTTTGATATTGAAGTTTGGGAACCTGGGTGGATTCCCGCTACTTTAAATAGAATGTAAGCTGCGAAGGTCATTTGTTTTATTGTGCCATTAAAATACAACCATGTGTGAGCATGGATATTATTCATTTCTTCACTCTCGTCTTTATTTGCTCAATTAACATTTCACTCGAGATGTTTGCGCCTGCCACCCACACACTGCACACCACACACACTGCACACACCAACAACACTGCACGCACACACAACACTGCACACGCACACACACTGCACGACACACACACACAACAGCACACACACTGCCTGCTTTAAAAACTTAAAACATGTCAGAAACTTTCAACTGCTGCTCTTTTTAACGCATGCTGACAGAAATTAGGTCTCTACAGTAGGCTCTTACTAAATGGTGATGTCTGGCATGACCCCTGGTGGACACAAAGCGGGATAGGTTTTTATCGGCCTCGTCTTCATTGATTGTCAAGGGGAATCCGATCCTGGTGTCAGGAATTTTATAATCGATTCAGTAAAACCCCCAAAAAACATCCAAATAATCGTCAATCAGCCACTGATAGAGGGGGGTGTATTGAGTGATGATGGGAGCTTCTGGCGTTGGATGTGAGATGCTAGACTGCCCAATTGTTAGAGTTGGTGAGTTGGGGCAGGGTTGTTTATATGCATGGGTAATCTTTAGGGTAATCTCATTCCCCCCCCAGGCGGGGGGGTTCAAAAGGGCCTTATTGGCTGGCAGATAGACAAAGGCAGCAGTCATGTTTTAACGTGTCTAAATTCTTAAAAATACTGTGATACAGAAGCACAAGATTGTGGCTGCGTCTAATATCTTGTTGTGTTATCTACGGGTGCTCAGGGGGTAGTAGAGGCGACGAATTCATTAAAACTGTGTAGAGCTGACATCAGTTCAAAATTAAGGGTTTGTGAGAACTGAGTAGCAGTCAACACTGTCTTTAGCACCCCTAGTTAGAAAACTCTCTTACTTGAGAGTCAGGAGTTCTCTCGTGACCATGTGGGAGCTTTTCAAACATTACGAAGACTGTACGCAGTCGGATAAAAAAGGAGAAACTTTAGAGACTCCAGAACTTATGAATTAAGTGTTTGAGGATGTGTCAGCCCCTGTGTGCTCGTAAGGGAGGGAGCAGTGAAGTTAAACTTCTTCCTAAGGAAAATCAGCAAAAGCCCTGAAAGCCGAGAACAGGAGATGCTTCTTATACTGGTTCAACTGAGTTCCAACATGTAGTCACAACTTCCCAAGAAACCACAGAAACTCTCCATCTTTTTTTTTGTTCTTAATAATACATTTGTTCTTAAAGGTTATTAGAAGATTAGTCAGCACCAGGATACAGAAAGAGAGTTTGTCTGGTTGTTAAACTGGTTATAAAATGGCCATAAATTCACTGGACAGAGAAGATAAGTTGATATCTGGAGCCTTGAACACATCTGTAACCCTTTAAATGATTATTTTCACTAATGAGTGATCAATTAATCAAGAAAAGTTGTTCATAACGTCTATACATTCTCACAAATGCTCATCACAAGTTCAGAAAGTGTTCAGTTTGATATAAAAACAGACAAAAGGAGACTTTAGGCTTCACAGGTTAATTATTAAATACTTTTTAACAGATTTTTACTACTCTCTGATAAGCTGAACAATAGTCTGTTAAATCCATCTCACAGATGTTAATATGTGTATTTTAAGATTTGTGTGAGTGTGCAGCATTTATAAAAGTAAAATAACAGGCTATTTTTATTTAATTTACACGCATTAAGTGTGTTTGTACAGGTTTGTAAATATATATATTTTTAATCACACGTCAGCTGTTTTGACAGGTAATATATTAATTTAATAATAGGAAAATTGTGTAAAATCAGTTTAAGTAGTAACATTTGTATAAAGAAGACGCATTTAAGTTACTTTATTCTGATAAATAACACATTTTAAAGGAGAAATGCTGCATATAAGTGTAAAATCTCTGCTTATATGCACTTTATAAATGATTTCTTTTGCACTTTATTGTTAAATTGTTGTTATAATATTCTCAATAAAGTTTATTTTAAAAATAAAAAGTAAGACAACGTTTAAGTTGTACAAGAAATAACCAAAACAACATCATTGTTTTATATTGTATGTTTAAACAACAAATCTCTCTTCTTAGCAAAATTTTTTATTTTAATTGTATATGAAACAGGTAGTTTAAACTAATATTAAACAACTGGAAAAGTAAGTATTGATAAGTATTGCACAATCTGCACCTCTTCTGTGGCTCATGTTAATTTAATAATGAGCTTTAACTCTTTAAAGTCGAGCAGCAGAAGTTAAATCTCAGATTTAAATGAATTAACTGAACCAAAATGAAGATTCAGTGTTATTATCAGGTTAACAGGCTCATATTCAAGTACAAATAACTCTTAGAAGAAGCAATAAAGCATAAAAATACTTGAAAAAATGTCCCCCGATTGATATATTTGTTACATATTCTCGTTACTAAAGCTTCTTTTAAAAACAATCTTCCCTCATGTGACGTGTCTGTTGTCCAGCTGTCGTTGCTGCTGTGACAAAGCATGTTTATCGCGCCGTGTCAACAGCATCCAACTTCAGCAGAGTGAAAAGCAAAAGCCTCTTAAGGGATTACAGCCGCAGTCTTTTACCGAGTCAGATAAAGAGAAGAGAAACAATATTCTCTCAGGAAAAAATCATCAAAACAGCCCCACATGGGGAAAAATGACAAACTATTGAGAAGCACTCTGCAGTAATCATCTTTTATAAAGTCAGTTCTCAACCTTTAAAGGTTTGTTACCTCCTCACGATGAGTTCCCCCTCTAACCTCGTTCAAGGCTTAAAGAGATAAAACTTTCAGATATTTCCACCCAAAAAGAAGCTTAAAGATAAGAGAGAAAAAGTACAAAAACATAGTCTGAAAATGTGTGCATCAGAACCTCTTAATCATCTCACGACCTGGTGGTCTGATGACCCAGTGGAGGGGCCCCGACCCCCCCGGGTTGGGATCATAAAGTGGTTTAAACTAACTTAGTATGATGTCTAATATAATAATATATGAGACTCAGGACACATTTTACTGCAGAACAAGTACTTTTACTTTTGATTCTTTAAGTACATTTTGCTCATAATACTTCAATACTTCCACTTTGACTATTTTTACTTTTAATTAACAGTATTTTTGGTCATAATTGGGTCATTTCTGGTCATTTCTGGGGATCATGGGAGTTGCATTGCAGTCAGCTTCTCCCTGTTAGGATTCCTTCAGGTTCATGGTTCAGGACCCGGACCCAGGACGTCCGATGACTAAAATCCTTCATCGGTTCAACAATCTAGAGGTCAAAAAGCACCAAGATCTAAAAACAGTGGGGATGGTAAAAAATGTGGCTGCACACGGATGTAACAGTCAACGATATGACAGCTTCTGGCACCGTTACCTGTTATACCTTGGAAATTGTTAATTTTGTGTTAAAGA